GGGCCTCCTTCTCGGTGGTCGGCTCCTTGTAAGTAAGCGGGACGTCTGGGAGACCACTTGAAGTAAGTGGAGTTGAAGGCACCGTCGCACTTGCTGAAAGTTGGTGAGAGTTGAGAATGTTGGTGCAACCCTATGGCTTGCACTCGGGTTGTCGTCCTTGTTTGTGTGTGCATGCATGGCATGGAATGAATTGTGAGTCTATTTCAGTGCTATCTAGTGCTTGTGTGTGTGTTTGAATGGTGTATCACATGTGGTTTGTGTCGGTCAAGACATTAGCGAGTTTTTACAACTCGCATGTCAAGTCGTCGTTTGTGTGTCGCATGTGTTTTTTCTATTTTGTCGAGTGTGAAGTGTCCATCGCGTCGCAGGTGTGTGCAGCAAGCCCCCATCAACTCGAGAAGAATTTATCTTGCAGATCCAAGACCAAGAGCTCAAGATTTCAAGCCCAAGGGACGCGGATAAATATTAAATTGTGAAAATAGTAACGCTACTTCGTGTAGTGTTACATTTCACTTGGTGTAGCCCCTTGGAGGGTTGGTTTCGAGACTCTTCGTGGTTGGGGTTTTTGTGGTGGTGTACCACCAACCTGGACCTCGGCTCTTGGGGTATGTAGAGGCTGGGAACCATCTCCCTCTCGAATTCTTCTTGCTAAGTTTGTACTTCTAAGACTATAGTGGCTGCTATACCTCCTGCCAGTCAAACCGTCATAGCGTCGTCAAACCGTCATGGAATTTCATGATTCAACTTGCTGCTGATAGACAACAGCAACGCACTCCCGATCCAACTTACAAATCACCGTTTAAGTGAGCGAGCAGATCGTTATCAATATTTGAAGCCGTCTGATGGAAATCTGACTGTGCTCTCTATCTATCATTATAGGCATATCCAAGCCTATTGTGATTATAACAAGTGGTATCAGAGCCCCTTGGAGGCGTCTCGACCATGCCTAGACCTGAGGAAGGGGGTGGCAGAGGTGCTGGAGGCAGATAAGACGCCCAAGCACAAGGTCAACACCAAGATCCACCCGTTGCTCCGGTGCAACCTAGCCTTGGACCCTCTAGGGATGAGCCTAGAGTGTTTGGCCTTGACAAGTTCAACGGTGACAACTTTGCTGAGTGGTCCTTCAAAATGGAGAACATCTTTGACCACTATGATCTGTTGGAGGTGATGGAAGGAACGGAGAAGCGCCCCGAGAACGACCCGGAGAAGAGCCCGTGGGTGCGGAAGAGCACACATGGCTACCTTCTACTTGGGCAAGCGTTGGGGAGCAGCCAAATCCGTCACATCAAGCCTTTTCAGCGTGAACCAGCAAAGGGACCAAAGGCATGGGCTGCTATCAAAGGTGTACACGCTCCTACAACAGCGGCGGTGGCTGTGGTTTTAGAGCGGCAAATGGCGGCCCTTAGAATTGACGAAGGCGAACCGGTGGAGGAAGGAGCGCAGAAATTCTTCGACTTGTTGACACGGCTCGAAGGAGGTGACCTGAACTACAGTGACCTTCAAAAGAAGACCAAGCTGCTGGCCTTACTTTCAGACTCATGGTCCTCGCTCATCATCAACCTAAATCGAGATCTGCCCTGTCTCTCACTCGAAGATGTGAAGCGGGAAATCTTACAAGAAGATTTCCGCCGTCGCGAATTGGCGGGTCCCGATGGTGCCAGAGTTGCAAGCATGGGCCGTGGGCACGGCCGTGGAAGGGGCAGAGGGCGAGGAGGAAGATTTGGGAGCAGTAACTTCAATGGAGGCCGTGGTAATGGAGGATATGGCAGCAACAACAACAACAATGGCTACGGGCATGGGCGCGGTCGATTTGATGGCGAATGCCACTTTTGTCACAAGACCGGCCACATGTGGAGAGATTGCTTCAGATTGCCTGATGGATGGACCCCTTCTCAAGACCAAGAGGGCAGAGGAGCAAGGAGAGGAAGAGGCAGAGGTCGTGGAGGCCGTAGTGGTCGTGGAGGCGAAGCGGCAAGCATGAAAGGTGGAGACTACGACAAGGACTCGAGTGAAGATCGATACTCGGGCCAATTCTTCTTTGTCTCCACGCAAGCGGCAGCTGCAGCAGGAGGTGTGGAAGGCTTTGAGGAGCCAGCTACTGTGGGAAAGGTCACCCTTCACTCTCTGGACTTTTGGGTGATCGATAGCGGCGCCACCTATAGCATGACACCTCGTGCGGACTTGCTCACCGAACTCGAACCGTCGCCGGTCAAGCATGTTACATCGGCTTTGGGGCAGCGAGCAGAGGTGAAAGTCATGGGCAAGGCCATGTTCAAGGGTGCTGATGGGAAGATGGTGGGTCTCAAGAACGTGCTTTTAGTGCCCAACCTAGTAGCCAACCTGATCTCCGTTCGGCGTTTGCAAAAGGCCGGCATGGACACATCTTCCAAGGGTTCCAAAACATATACCGCGAGGCTTGGTGAGCGGAAGCTTTGGGACCTTCATGAGGACAGGGACATCTACAATGAGATGTGGCAAATCCCAGTGGTCCCCATGCCTAAGGGGAGGCAAGTGGCAGCAAGCGTCAGCACCAAGAGTGAAGCGGTTGGTGGCGGCGATCACGGAAAGCAAAGTGGCCAGAGTGACTCGAAGGAGTGCAACCTTGGAGAGACCAGCAAGGCGTGTGAACCCAAGGAGAGTGGTGCAGCAGCCAAAGGTGGTGGAAATGAGGAGGAGAATCCTAAGATCAGCAAAGCAGCAGCGGCGAAGGAGAAAGGAGAGCGCTTGTGGGGCACGATTGCGAGTGCCGCTTTCTCCAACCCGACTTCCGCTACGGGAGAGTGTGATCGGCTGACCTTGCATCGGCGAATGGGGCATGTGGCATTGCCCATTTTGCAGCAGATAGTTAAGCAAGAGATGGTCAGTGGGATACGTGTCAAGGGGGAGCCCAATGAGGTGCTTGGCTGTCCAACATGCATGCAAGCCAAGTTCACCCGCTACCCGTTCCATAGCTCGGAGACAACGGCGAAGGCACCACTTGATGAGGTGGTGATGGATGTGGTGGGCCCCTTGAAGCTTGGAGCTGCTGGAGCAGAGTACTTCCTCACCATTGTGGACGTCTACACTCGCATGACTTGGGTGTATGTGCTGCCCAAGAAGAGTGACGTAGCTGAAACGGTGAAGACCGATTGGTTGCCGATGGTGGAGCGGCAACAAGACCGACTTGTGAAGGCGATTTGCACTGACCGTGGGGGAGAGTTCCTGAGCAAGGATTTCTCAACTTGGCTGAAGAAGCAGGGCATAAGGCACTCTCTTACCATGCCCTACTCTCCTGCAATGAACGGCATCACCGAGCGTGCGAATCGGACACTCACGGAGACGGCTCGGAGACTTCTCATTGAAGCCGGTCTACCCAATTACTTTTGGCCGGATGCGGTGCGGCATGCTTGTGTGACCAAGAACAGAGCCTTGACTCACGTGGGAGAAGACAAATGGGTGCCCTATGTAGAGTGGATTGGAAGGAAGCCGAAGGTGGATATGCTTCGGGTGTTCGGGTGCATGTGCATGGCACTTGTGCCTAAGAAACTTCGGCACAACAAGCTTGATGCCAAGGCAACATGGGCCGTGCACTTGGGCATGGCTCAAAACAGCAAGGGATGGCTTCTTTGGGACCTATTTACCAAGAAGTTCTTGGTGAAAAGAGATTGCAAGCTCATGGAGAACTTACCGTACAAGGAGTGGAAGGCGGAGAATCAAGCGAAGATTGGTGTGCGGCTTGGAGAGGTGAAGAGTACCGGCTTGGAGCTGCCCTTGGAGCTGAGTAGCAGCAGCACAATCACGAGGCAATCTCCTCAAATGAATGGGGATGAGGAGGAGGAGGAGGTGCAGCGAGATGATGAGCGTGCACCGTCACTTCCGCCTCGTGCTACAAGTGCTTGTGGGAACCGACCAGATTTACCGCAACGCCATGAGAGCATTCAAGTTCCTGCAGCAGAGGAGGAAGGAAGGGGGAGAAGGAGGACTCAGCCTCCCAATAGGTTGAGCTATGACCGGCTTGGAGGACTAGCCAACTCAACCTTGACTGGTTCAGCTCTCATGCTAGGCGATGATGCGGAAGATGAAAGCGAGGAGTGCGCCTTTGCCTTCTTCTCTCCGGTGGAGATGCCGGGGGAGCCTATAAATCCCAAGGAGGCTTGGGAGGGCCCCAATGGGAAGGAGTGGAAGAAGGCCTCAGATGAAGAAATGGGGAGCATCATAGAGAACGACACATTTGACTTGGTGAACCTTCCTCCGGGGCGGAAGGCGATCTCTTCCAAGTGGCTCTTCAAGCGCAAGACCGACGCCGACGGCAAATTGAGCGCTACAAGAGCAGACTTGTAGCCAAGGGGCATCAGCAGCAAGAGAAGAAGGACTACAATGAAGTGTATGCCCCTGTGGTGAAGGGTACAACCCTTCGAACCCTCTTCGCCACGGCGGCCATCAAAGGATGGGTGGTGAAGCAAATGGATATACAGTGGCGGAAACAATTGTCCACATGTTTAGCATATTTTTACATTTTGACGAGCTGTACGCTATAAACATTAAGCCTTAATTCATGGTGACTGGTGGGGAAAAATATTCGGGTTGAGATCTGGTGAGGAAAAGGGTCAATGTTTTAAGGCTTAATGTTTATAGTGTATAGCTCGTCAAAATGTGAAAATATGCTAAACATGTGGACAATTGTTTCCACCACTGTAGTAACGGCCTTCCTCAACGGCGTTTTGGAGGAAGAGACCTACATGGAGCAGCCAGAGGGGTACACTGATGGGAGTGGCAGAGTGTGGAAGCTGAAGAAAGCACTCTTTTAGCCTCAAGCAAGCCCCTAGGCAATGGTGCATCAAGCTGCGGGAAGTCTTGGAGGCGATCGGCTTCACTCCGTCAACGGCCGATCAATCCTTATTCATGCTTGGCAAGGGGGAGCAGAGGAGCTTCATGGTGGTTTATGTGGATGACATCCTCATATTCTCACCCTCATCTGACCTTGTGAAGGAGGTGATGCTGAAGCTTCAAGACAAGTTCAAGTGCAAGACCCTTGGTGACGTCAACTACTACCTTGGGCTTCACATTAAGCGAGATGTGGAGAAGCGGTGGATGCGAGTGCATCAAAAGAAGTACTTGGAGGCCTTGGCTGCAAACTTTGGGAAGAGTGAAGGTCATGTGGCTACTCCTCTTCCCTCAGGGTTCAAGTGTGTGAAAGGACCAGCGGAGGAAACTGTTGGTGAAGAGGAGAGGCGGCGTTTTCACTCCTTGGTGGGCAGCCTCATGTATGCGGCCGTTCACACAAGGCCGGATGCAGCCTTTGCTACAGGGCAGCTGGCTAGGGTTGTCCAATGCCCTTATGAAGAGCAGGTAGCAGCTGGAGAGAGGGTGGCCAAGTACCTTGGCCAAACAGCAACTGTTGGACTGCAATACTCCGCGGCGGCACAAAGGCGTCAAAAGGGTGCGGATGGAGTCGAACCCGGGAGACTCTTTCTCACTGCCTTCTCTGATGCATCTTGGGCATCAGAACCAGAGAACATGACAAGTGTGGGAGGCTTCATCTGCTGTGTTGGTGGAGGCCCAACAGCTTGGGAGAGCAAGAAACAAGTGGACCAAGCATTGAGCTCGGTGGAGTCCGAGTACATGGCACTCTTCCGTGCCATAAGGGAGGTTGTGTGGCAGCGGCGTTTGCTAGCTGAATTGGGGGAGGAATAGTAAGGACCTACCCCACTCTACTGTGATAGCCAGGGTGCTATTGCATTGGCTAAGAACCCGGTTCTTCATGGCCTTACCAAGCACATGAAGGTGAAGTGGCATTGGGTGAGGCGCATGGTAACCACGGGTGAAGTGGAATTGCACTATGTGAAGACGACGGCGCAGCCTGCTGATATCATGACCAAGAGGCTGGTTGAGCAGCAGCATTGGAAGTGTTGCAAGCTTGCTGGGATGGCTCTGAACTAAGGGGAGCAGATTCTAAGGCCAACAATCCGAGGGGGAGTTTGTTGGTGCAACCCTATGGCTTGCACTCGGCTTGTTGTCCTTGTTTGTGTGTGCATGCATGGCATGGAATGAATTGTGAGTCTATTTCAGTGCTATCTAGTGCTTGTGTGTGTGTTTGAATGGTGTATCACATGTGGTTTGTGTCGGTCAAGACATTAGCGAGTTTTTACAACTCGCATGTCAAGTCGTCGTTTGTGTGTCGCATGTGTTTTTTCTATTTTGTCGAGTGTGAAGTGTCCATCGCGTCGCAGGTGTGTGCAGCAAGCCCCCATCAACTCGAGAAGAATTTATCTTGCAGATCCAAGACCAAGAGCTCAAGATTTCAAGCCCAAGGGACGCGGATAAATATTAAATTGTGAAAATAGTAACGCTACTTCGTGTAGTGTTACATTTCACTTGGTGTAGCCCCTTGGAGGGTTGGTTTCGAGACTCTTCGTGGTTGGGGTTTTTGTGGTGGTGTACCACCAACCTGGACCTCGGCTCTTGGGGTATGTAGAGGCTGGGAACCATCTCCCTCTCGAATTCTTCTTGCTAAGTTTGTACTTCTAAGACTATAGTGGCTGCTATACCTCCTGCCAGTCAAACCGCCATAGCGTCGTCAAATCGTCATAGAATTTCATGATTCAACTTGCTGCTGATAGACAACAGCAACGCGCTCGAGATCCAACTTACAGATCACTGTTTGAGTGAGCGAGCAGATCGTTATCAATATTTGAAGCCGTCTGATGGAAATCTGATTGTGCTCTCTATCTATCATTATAGGCACATCTAAGCCTATTGTGATTATAACAGAGAAGTACGACGAGTGCGGTTGGAAGGTTCGGGTCCCCTACCGTGTGAGGCCCCATCACCATCACATGTGGGTCGAAAGTGACTCTCTTATCCCTTCCCTTCCTGCTCGTTGAGATGGGGGTTTGAATAGAGACTTCGGACGGCCGAGACGAATAGGGGTAGAGCTCATCCGGATCACTTGACGGACGGGCTCCGACTTCCTCCTCCGTAGTGACCTCCATGTTATCTCCTCCTCCTCCTCCTCCTCCTCCTCCTCCTCCTCCTCCTCCTCCTCCTCCTCCTCCTCCTCCTCCTCCTCCTCCTCCTCCTCCTCCTCCTCCTCCTCCTCCTCCTCCTCCTCCTTCTCCCGAGCTGACCTCCTCTACTTCCTCCATGTCAAAAGCGGAGTGAGGAGAGAAAGAGGGTTGTATCATGGCTGGAAAGCGATCACCGGGGCTTGATACCCCCTCCGAAGTCCACTCATCAAAATGAGGGGTGACTTCCACATCAATCCGATGTTGGTCCAGCAGTTAGGAGGCATTGGGGAGGAAAATGTGATCGTAAAACGTGGCGGACCAGGTCTCCACGTTGGTATAAGAAGATAGGTCCCATACCAACCACGCTTTACGACCGCGTGGGATGCCTAAGAACATCCCGACATGACCTCGTTGGTCAAACTTCCCAATTGTGGCCTTAGGAGGGAGGTTATGATAATGGGAACCAAAGGTCCGAGCCATGGACACATCGGCCGCTTTGCCATGGAGGGCAAAGTACGGGGAATGCTTGGAGGGGTTGGCGACACAATTAAGGTGGTTGTGAAGCCAAGCCGCATACTCGATGGCGTGGAGCCAAAACTGTGAGGAGAGGGCCGCGTCTCCAAGCATGGCCCGAACCCGCTCCATGAGAGTACGATTTACTCGTTCCGCAACGCTGTTTTGTTGGGGGGTATAAGGTAGTGACGTTTGATGTTCAATCTCCGCTCCGTTAAGGTAGGACTCGAACTCATCGGACATTTATTCCCCTCCATTGTCCGTGCATAGAATGGCGACCGGAAGTGAAGGAAAGTGGGACTTCACAGGCCAGTGCCATGCTTCAAATGTGGCAGGGAGCTCCGACCGTCGTGCCAAAAGGGTGAGCCACATGTAGTTGGTGACATCGTCCTTGAAGGTGGCGACATATTGAAGGTGAGTTCGAGCTGTTCCAAGGTCAAGGATGTCGCTATGGATGAGCTCCAAAGGGCGGGTTGACTTAGTTTCGGTCCCATGAGTGAAGGAAGCGTTTGTCAATTCGCCCCGAGAGCATGCATCACACTGGCTTTTGAACGAGGATGCATCATGGATGTCAAGGCCGATCACATCACCATTCTTGAGCGTCGTATCCATAGCTCCAAATAACAATGTCCCAAGCGTTTGTGAGCCACTTGGTAAGGAATGGCCACATTCGCAAGAGTGGTTGGGTAAGTTGAGATGTCCGCATCATGGGTGTAGGAGACCTCCAATATACCATCTTTCAATACTCCTTTGCCGATGCACACGTCCTTGACCTCATCCTCTCCATTTTCATCCTTTTCATTCACGGGCATCATGATGAGCGTGGACCGCTCGCCATCCTCCTCATATGAGTTGATCTTGGCTCCTTTCCCAAGGAATTGGCAATACGAGAGGAGGTTGGACTTGAGGCCCGGCACAAGAAGTACATCGGTAAGACGCACGTTTACTCAATTGGCCGCTTGCACCCAAATGTTGCCCCCCATAGTGCTCGTGAGATAGTTGCCATCCGCAAACTCCATGTGAACGGGATCATCCAAGGTCTGTAGCGAGTCGTCAAACCACTGCAAATTGGATGTCATGTGTTGGCTATATCCGCTATCAAGTAGGTCAGGTTGTGATGGTTTGAGCGCCGCCTTTCCTGCATAGGCCCTTGCCGCACACGTGACCACCTCCTTGGTACTTCCTTTTTCTTTCTCCTTCACCACCTTGGGGGCCGATCCACTCGCAAAGACTCGAACCCTTGTAGGGAAGTTCGGGGCAATCACGGCAGTGATGACCCTTCTTATTACAACAAACACACGTCATTTGGGAGATGTCCCATGTGGATGTCCACCTCCTTCCCCCTTTCCCCGCCTTGACTTGATCCTCTCCCGTCACCTCCTTGCCCTCCGACTTCTCCCCCTTTTCTCCTTGACCACGAGTCCCCTCTCCACTTCCACTAGGAGATGGTGAACGCCGCAAGGTGTTGACGGAGCCGGCAAAGCAAGGAGTAGAGCGACGGTCCCGATTGTAGTGCGTGCGCAAGTCTTGGTACCGTTGTTCTTGGATCATCATCTAAAGTAAGTCGGTAGAGGTTGTGATGCATTATAGCATCACCGCATGCCGCAACTCCTCCCAATGTTGAGGGAGTCCTTGGAGTACCGTAATCCCTCGGCTATTGGACCCTATGGTCTTCTTAGAATTACAGAAAAAAATGTCAAGGTGGACATTAACGTGGATGGAAATTATTAGGACCCTTGTTCATATATTTTACACTTAAGTGTCTATTATTATGGATGTACAACCTTTCTACATATGGAGTTATAGCTGTACCGCAGAAACACAACTCTCTTATTGTCACCTTTCCATCCCACCAGAATGACACGCGTCAAATCTCCAGCAGCCACGGCTGCAAATTTTCGTGTGTTGGCGTGGCGCGATGTCACCTTGACTGCCATCACCCATGCTGCTACAACGAGGGTACAATTACAGGGAATCTGCCATCCTCATTCCCCCCTTTGACCATTCCTGCTGCCAACATGGCCGAGAGCTTCTTGTGTCGCTAGCGATATCAACCTCTCTGTATAAAAATAGGCAGTAGTTTCCATTCTTATAGTGCAAAATCCTACAAGAAAATACAGCTGGGGGATCCTAAAATGTTAAATGCCAAAAAGCGGGTCCTCACAGGGTCTGCCAAAATAAATGATCCCACCCCCGAGTAAAGGACCCATGGACTTACTTACCGGCGGGTCCATTATCCGGGGGATTACGATAAGTGTAGCACGTACACACTTTCCTCCACGCGTTGACCAACCAAAGCTAGTTGGTCACGAATGTTGTTAGCGCGGTTGAAGTAATCCTCCACCCGCTCTTGTCCTCCCATCTTCAACGTGTGCAATTGGTTCCAAAGGTTGAGGTGAGATATGGGATCCCAGGCTTGGTACGCCTAGGTCACCCCACTCTCCCGCATCTGCATCGCATGTCCCATCACGGGCTTGTCCGTGGTCTCCCTGCATCGCTCCCTGCCCTCCCTCCCTCGCCTGTGCCGCCGTGCACGCCCTGCATCGAGGGCCGGTTGCGCCGTGCTCCCCACTCCTCCTCGCTCCCCCCTACCACTGTGCCACTCCAGACCCTGCACTTGGACGTTTGGGGTCCTGCCCCTGTCCCTGGGTCGCGTCGCGAGAGCTACTTTCTAGTGCTTGTCAACAACTTCACACCACGGTTTTTCCCCTAGAGCGGAAGGCCGACGTGCTTGACGCCCTTATCTCGTGGGTCGTAGCTGCGCGAGTCCACCACGGCCTCCCTGTACTGCATCTCCACTCCGACCGTCGTGGCGAGTTCGCCTCTAGTCGGCTTGGCCAGTTCTGTTGTGCGGAGGGCATCACCCAGTCGTACACCGTGCCGGACTCCCCGCAGCAGAATGGGGTCGCCGAGCGAAGCATCGGTTTGGTCATGGAGGTGGCTCGTACCTCCATGATCCATGCTGGTGCACCCCATTTTCTGTGGCCATTCGCTGTTCGCTACGTCGCTCACCAGCTTAACCTGTGGCCACACTCCCAGCGGCCGCAGGTTTCGCCGACCCTTCTCTGGACCGGGTTCCCTGGTGACGTGTCTGCTTTCCACGTCTGGGGCTGCCTTGCTCACGTTCGTGCCTCTGGAACGGACAAGCTCACTTCCCGCACCATCCCTTGTGTCTTCCTGGGTTTCACCCTCGACGCGTCTGACTGACACTTTTACCACCCGCCATCTCACCGTTTCTTTGACTCACGCAACATCAATTTTGAGGAGTCTGTTTCATTCTACACCCGCTTTCCTCACCGAGGTCTCCCGGTTACCCCGCCCCTGTTCTAGGTCCCCACTCCCCCGATAGCCCCTGCTCCTTTTCCTCCCCGTCCTGCCCCATCTGGTGTGTCTCACGTCACTCCCCTCCTGCCGGTTGTCCCGGTGGAGGATGTAAGAAATAGAGCTGAAAGAATTGATCAAGTAAGGAGCCCAAGGCTCTATAGGTACATGGCAAGGTGAGAGATAATGGATGAAGGGGGAATTGGAGGGAATCCTCATTGGGATCTCCGGAATCTCCAATTGGGTAATTGGAGATTGGGGGGATCACAATTGGGTGAGGTTGGGATTTTGTGAGTACACCCCAACCCACTAGAACATTCCTAGCCTAAAATAGGATATAAAAGTACAAATACAAAAGTGGGATTTGCAATCTATTTCTAACACACCCCCATAGACTGCAAACCAGGTCAAGGAGCACATAGAACCATGGAATGGAGAAGGCGATGGTGGTCAACCTTGCCGAGAGCCTTGGTAAAGAGGTCGGCGAGGTTGCAATCTAAGGCGATGTACAGTACCGTCAGCTGGTCACTCTGAACAAGATCTCGGATGAAGAAATGACGAAGTTCGATGTGCTTGGTGCGAGATTGGAACACAGGATCCTTGGTGAGGTGAATGGCGCTCTGGTTGTCACACCAGAGGGTGGGTGACTGCTGGGGGTAGCCTAACTCAGCGAGGAGGAAGGAGAGCCAGCGTGCCTCTTGAGCAGCCATTGTGCCTGCGTAGAGCTCGGCCTCGCAGGACGACAGGGAGACTTCAGCTGACCGAGTGGAGCGCCAGCTGATGACTTCGCTACCAAGGGTGGAGCAGTTGCCTTGGGAGGAGTATCTATCAGTCTGGTCATCGGCCCATGAGGAGTCTGTGTATCCCTCGAGCTTGACTGGAGAGGTACCACCGAGAGTGAGGATGTGAGACTTGGTGGCTTGTAGATATCGGAGGACCCTCTTGGTTGCAGACCAATGGGAGGCGGTATAGCGTCCGGGGGAAACATACCGAGAGAGGACACTAACCGAGTAAGCCAAGTCTGGTCGAGTGCACATCATGGCATACATGAGTGAACCGGCTAGCTCAGGGTACGGGTCCTTGCAGGTGTCAGGAGAAGGAATCGCAGGGGCCGTGAGCTGATGCTGTAGTGGGAGTGGAGTGGAGACAGAGTTACTGGAGTCCATGTCGAAACTCTTGAGAAGGTTGTGCCAGAAAAACCCAGTGGGCGTTCCATGTGAACATCCTCCTTGAGCTGGCCTTGGAGAAAGGCGGAGGAGGTGTCTATGGACTTGATCTCGAAGTTGCCGTGAGCGGCTATATCAAGAAGAGCGTGCACA